CCTGCCCCCTCCCTCACTGGGGGGGGGGGAGGGGTATTGATCGGCCCTGCCATGCCCTTCTTCGCTCCCCCTCCCTTTCCAGCTGGAAGCAGCTCTCCACACTGCCAGTTCTGCTGTATGCTGCACTGCAGCTGCGCACAACATGGGTATTCATCAGCCAAATTATCAGCCCCCATTGGGCCAATATCCAAAATAGACAACTTTCTTCATATCAGTACCAATCTGATATCAGACTGATATATTGGTGCACCTCTACTTAAAACAGTATATTACACTCTTCTGTTATATTAAAGGGATGTGAAAATATAGTTTTATGTCCTGCAACTTACCCTGCAATGGAAAAAAGAAACTATAGTAGAAAAAGGAGGATTGCACTTGCAGCCAGGGACTCCCAAATAACTTGTGGTATTCAAGGTAGCTTGAATAGAGTTGTTTCTTGAAAAAAAATGTTAACCTAATCTAAATCTACTAAATACAAAAATAATAAGAGGAAGGCATACATTATTCCAGATTTAAGAAAAATGTAATATGATTCAAGGACATTTGGGATTCTATTTTTATTCCATCTCCATAACAAATGCCCTCAGGTTATAGTATTTTCTTTCCTTCAACTGACAGGCAGGCATACCTGCCTACAACATGTAATTAAATTAAACGGTGACCTTCCTAGATCATGCCTCAGTAAAAACTGAGAGAATTAAAATATTTATTCCTTTTACAGCAAAAGATGAAGTAAAACAGGAACACCACACTGAAATCAGTGGAAATACACGTGGAGTTATGTCACTCTACATAAGTCCCAACTACTCTCTAGTAAAATTCAAAGTCATAAATTGTAAGCTCTAAGAATGAAAGCCTTTTACATCTTACAAACAGGAACAAAATGTAGGTAACCTCAGAATGAAGTGGATCAAAATAGTTTATAGAAGGAAAGTGTTAGGTAGTCAGAACATTAATTTAAGTGTCAAATAACCTGCCAGTCTCTGACTCAGTCATTTTTTAAGTAAATGTTTTTAAAAATTGCTTAAAATTCTCAGGCAGGTTGATTTCTCAAGAAAATATTTTCTAGATCTCATTTAAATGACACTCATTAGAAGAGAACAGCATAAATTATCACTGTGCATAAGTATTTTGGCCATTAAAAGTAGCTGAGAGTAGAAACAAGTTCTGACTTTATAATATTATCGCTTAATTTCAAAGTAGGCATCAACTTCAGATTTCTGTCCAACCCTTTACTGTTTGAGAAAAATGCAGATAATCGTAAGCTGTGGTACAGCTGTTCAGTTAAACTGTGTCACTTAAGCCATTGTACAACATCAATAAAAAAATAATTTTAAATTTATTTAAATGGAAGTAAAAAAAAATTCAAATAAGTGTTAAGTAAAAGAAAGGAGGTTCTAGAAAGTGGGCATGCCCTCTCGGTATTATTTTTTCATTCAGAATAGTTACAGCAGAAAATTAATGGATACTATGCAGTATGCCAAAACACACAGAAGAATGAGAAACTTATTTGAATAAAATCAGAGGTTCAGAAGAATGCAGTAGATCAACACAGAGACTTCTAAGATTCAACTAGTTAGTTCTCTCTTATTGACTATCCCCAGTTGTAAAGAGAAGTGAAATCTGTGTGGAAAATGCATATCTTGATAATTACTTTAATGTGTCTTGTATTTTTGAGATTAAAAATAAGAAATTATATGAAGTAAAGATACTTCAGCACTCAGAGTTGCAGCACTACTAAAGTGACCACACTATTGTAACTAGAAGGTTAAAAACTATGTTCTCTTTCCTGACATTTGGCTTTATTTTGGGAGGTAAGTGCAACTGCCTGGGGCACCTCTTAGAATCCAGGCCAGATGCTGAAAGTATATGCGGCATTTTAACGTAATTAGATTATGGTCCCATAACTTAGGTTTTAAACACTTGTTTGTGTATGAAAGCTTGCAAAGAAGAATTTTTCCAACCATTTGAGTTGGTTTAATAAAAGATATTGGATTTACCCAAAGAACCTTGTCTGCTTAAGTCTGAAAGGGTTTTTTTTTATAGCGCATACCTCTTGAAGTTTATTTCGAATTAAGCTTGCTGAAGTATTCAAGGAATCATCCTCCATATCCACTTTGGGCATTTCTGGCAGCTGGGGTCCAATAACAACTTCATTACTATCTGAATTTGTCCCAATTATTCCAAGTTTATTGCCTTCGTCTCTTTTTCTCTTCCGCTCTTCCAGCTGAGTTGTCCGTGGCATAAATCTATCAATTCCATTATCAAAAGTTCTTTGCAGTGCAGGAGAAACAGATGCATGTTTATGTCCTCCCTGCTGTATGGTTGGCTTCAGAGATGGATTGTAGCTAAAACACTCATAAGCTTTATTACTGTAATGGACACACTGAGGGAATGCCAAATGACTCTGAGAGTGATATCCTGAAGAATGTGCTATGTTCCCTGCAGAGAAGTCACAATGTAATGTCTTGTAAAAGTCTGGAAAACATGCTTTTCCAGATGGATCCCAGTTGCCAATGGTTGTATCAGCAGCACAGAATCCTGAGGTTGGCGACTGAAAGTCATACTCCAAGTTATTTGAGACAGTCCTTTTAGGCCCCTGTGGCATCTTTGAAAAATGATCTTTAACACAAAAAGGGTATTTTGACTGTTATTACACACAGATATTGCATAAGTAAGCATTTTAAACAGCTAAATTATAGTGGAATTGACCATTTTCAAACTGATATTTGAGGCTTAGCCTCTACATGACCGTGAACTGAAAAGCTTAAGCAAAACAATTTAGTTCTGAAAATGAGAGAACAAAAACAGTTATCTTACTTCTGAATTCTTTTAAACAGTATTTGATAATGTAATTAAAGACTATCATAGGATGTTAAGACCAGTAAAATTTAAGATCGGGGTTTCTTACGACTGACCTGTGGACCAAAACACTGCAGTACTGCATGCTGCAGCCCTATTGCCACGTCCCTTTTACTCCCAGCACGCCTTTTAGGCCAGGGCCTACAATGGCAGTTTTCCCCTGGGTGCTCCAGGGCTGAATAGGCCCCACTGCAGTGCTCTCACATTTACCCAGTCTGAAGTAAGGGTGAAAATGCCATTCTACATTTCCTGGCCATGCTTATGTTTTTGATGAATGAGGTGAAGAATGTCATGAAAAAAGAAACTGTACAAGGAAGAAAAACTGAGGTGCTGAATAAAACCTGTGCATTTCTAATTACAAACCTTTACTACTTGTTGCTTTTGCTATATACTTTCTTCTGTCTTGTAACTTCTCCCTAGTTTCTTGGACTGTTTCAAATTCTGGAGCATAACACACGTGGAGCAAGCTACCAAAGAAATTCCGTTCATCCATTTTTTTCTTGGCCACTCTAAAGAGAAGTTGCATTCAAATATTAGTTACAGACACAACTTTATCACAGTTCACATTTGAACGAGCATTTCTGAAGATTACTGATAAATACTACTTAAACAACCAAGTTCAGGAAACTGAGTTATGATATTATGCAAAGAACACATAACTTGCATTTGTAGCAAAAGATCTCTGAGGTGGCTATTTCACTTTAATTCTCCAGACTCATACTTTAAGATATGGAAAGCAGGCAAAGGTTACCTACTGCAGTACCTTGCGTTCTGTAACTTTTGGAATTTGATGAGATAAACTTCTGTAAATTGTTCTGCTGGATACTCATCTAGAGCATTGTATTCTTCAATAGCACCATATAATGCAAACTGTTCAACTAATTCCTTCATAACACCCAATGCAGGAACTCCCTGTATTAGCAAATAGCGAGATTCCAAGTTGATAGTATAGACCTGCAAAAAAAATTCAAATTTTTATCTCATAGTAAAACACAAAACAGACTCAAACAACTAAATTTTCCATTATTTATTGCTTCTGCAACTCTTTGTTCCTTTATTTCACCTTGCCCTGTAGTGACTTTGGAGTTTTCCAAAAGCAGCTTATTAGAATTATAGCAGAAGTTTGTAACAATTGCCCAAATACTTACCATTTGCACTAAGGCTTATAATGCAGTCCTACAGAGGCCGGGTAGCTTATGCAGGAAAGAGTAGTGCTATACACCACTAGAGACTAAAAATTTCCAGAAATTTCACAACCATGGAAAAAACAGAAGTTTGGGGAAAAACTGAAATATAGGTAAAAAAAAATAAATAAATATTGCATATCTACATTTACTTTACTACTTTAAGAACATGAAATATATTATGTATAAACCTAATTAACACAAATTGTAATGTTTGATATATTTATGAAATTAAAAAGTATAAATGCCTTATTTGAATAGAACCAAGGCATTTAAAATAATTATAGTTTCATAGTTTCTAGGGTCGGAAGGGACCTGAGAAGGTCATCTAGTCCGACCCCCTGCCATGGCAGGAAAGAGTACTAGTATTAGTAATACTAGTAATTAGTTGTAATTATTGTTACAGCTGGAGCTACAAGCTACTGCACCGAGGTACTTAAGCACATCTTAGTTTTGCTAGGAAAAAAAAAGTTGAAAATAGAAACCATCAACATTGTAGTAAACAAAAAGGAAGTTTTTATTATCTGGAATTAGAAAGTGTCCTCCATACAGTCAGCAATCTTCAGAAAACAGAAGAAACTCACACTTTTAGAAAAGAGCTCAGAAAAAAATATCCCTTTAAGGTTGCAGACAAAATTCAGCACATGAAACCAATACGTCATTCAAACAATCAAATATATCCTTGAAAATACTAGCATCAAAAGTTTATTTGTCTAATCAAAGTCACACTCAGGTTTCTAAAATATCACTATTTTCTGATTCTGAATCTGAACCTTCATTTTTCATCTTCATGGACTTCAGAAAACTGAAGGTTTGCATGGATTGAAACAAGCTTCTCTGCTTTTTCACAGATTAGTTTATTTCTTGATTTGATCTATATTTCTAAACAAAGACCAGTTTCTTTCACATGCTGCAGAAAATGGAGGAATCTGAAGCAGACAAGAAGCAAGTGGAGCCAGAGGAGAAATATGCTTGACAGAGTCCCAGATGTTGCAGGAGAAATATGCTTGACAGAGTCCCAGATTGTACTCCTGGACCAAATGCCTGACCATGTTCTGGATTCTGCAACATTTGAAAGTACTTTGCCAACATTAAGTCCTAAATGTGTTTATTGTCTTATAATCCAGTCAAATGCAGTAGCAATGCTATCACCACTGACATTTCTACCTTTGAATCTTGGATCCACAAGATTTGCAGCAGCGTGAATTGGCTGGCAACAAAATTCCTCCCACGTGTGAGTGAAGTCTTCCACTTTTCTTTCTTCCACTCCTAAGTATATCTCTAAGTAGAGGTATACTTACATTGTCAAACACAGTTGATTTTACCTGGGCTATTATAAGTCTGACAAAAGCACACTGTCTGATTCAGATGCAATGACTGCTGAAGAAACTGACTTTAGAATCTTCAGGGAGTTCTGCACCTGAACCCAGAAGACATCCTCATCAAGTACAGTGTTCCTTATCTTCAGACTACTTTAAGATCTTCAGTTATCACTGTTTCTTGAAAAGCTTCTTTGTTAGTAAACTTTCAGATGAGATCACCCCAACCTACGTAGTTTCACAACAAGGTTTGAGTGTTGCCATTTTATTCTTTCTGCTTCTTAAGGATTGCAGCTACAATACGAGTAGATTTTACATATTTTATAACACTTTTGCTTTATTATAGATCTTTTGCAGTGTGTCCAACTCCATGAAATCATTAAAAAGCAAGTTTATGCCATGGGAAGCACATCCTATTGCAGTAATATGTCGATATTTGTCCATTATGATCTCCCATGCTGCTTTCATATTACTTGTGTTGTCAGTCAGCAAAGCAAGTCCTTTACCACTCCCAATCTTCTGTAGGACTTCACATATTTTACTACTGATATACTCTGCAGTATGTCTGTTCTCTCCTGTTTCAATGCTGTTATAAAAAACAGGTTGAGGTGTTATCACAAAGTTTATGATTCCTTCTCCCCATACTGATGGGTGGACAAATGTAAGTGCTGCAAGACAAAGCGCTTAATTGATTTTTTGTGCACAGATTGCATTACATGTTCATATTCTGACTTTAAAAGAGGCTCGCTCAGAGGATGTCTGCTGGGCAAATGGCACAATGGTTTTAATTTAAATGCTGCCTGCCAGTTGCATTTTCAATGATTAATAATGGCATCCTAAAAGCACATACTGCTCAAGCAAGAGCTTGGTCAATTTTTTCTTGCTCTTCAAGTGTCATCTGGTCTACACATTAAGTTATTTTGAGTCTTTTGGATAAAGTTGGTTGAGATATCTGTTTACCTGATGATGTTGACTGAGTAATGCTTTGTGATGCTGATGTTACTGAAGAAGCAGGAGCACTTCTGGATCAAGAACGTTTGCAAGTGCTACTTCTATTATCATCATGATCTACCTCATTCACACTCATGAAGGATTTTTTTTAAGTCTGCAGGGCACTTCATACATGCAAAGATGTGGTTGGTCATCCTGGTAGCACTTGGAAATGCACATTTAATTGACAGTATTTGCAAAACACAGGTTTTTTCCTGAATAACTTGTAGTTGCTGTGTGGAAATGCTTCCATATGTTAGAAGATGGATGCACCATGTTACTGAGGGAGAAAAAAATGTAATGGAATAGCTAAGTTACATATATAAACACTAAGTTACAGCATTTGAAAAATTTAGTAATTGATGGAGGGGGGAGCCCTCTTCAGTAAGCTAACTGTAAACCACCCCTTCCCTCAGACCTCACCTCTCTGCTAAGGTAAGGGTAGAGGGTGATTTACTCAGAAACCATCAGATTGGCAGGAACTCCATTCTGAATTACATACATTATAAAAATAGACTAACTGAAAATATAGTTTAATATACCAAACTCAATGAAATTCTTACCTTTCAGTTAACAAGAAGTCTACTTCCAGCTCCTTTGTGTTGCTAGATACAGTTTGTTAGGTACTTCTGTGGATCTCAGGGTCCAGAAGATTCCATTCCATCACCAAAATCTTTAAGTTTCTTTTTCCTCTGAGGCTTTGCTACCCACAACAGTATTTCAGCAGTTTCTTCACACAAGGAAGAAGGGTAATAAGATGCTTGTTTCCCTGTAGCAGGGAGCTGCCAGTGTCCACTCCCAGTCATTTGAGTGGAGAGGTGACCAGGTTGAGGGGCCTTGTCAGGACTTAGGAGGAGTACATGTTACTCTATCTCCTCTAAACTCTAGATCAGAGGTAGGCAACGTTTTTGGCTGGAGTGCCGAAAAAACCCAATGTCTACCTTGTAAGGTGCCAGAATGCCAAAAAAACAAAACTGGGGTGGGGTGGGATGGGGTATACCTGGCACGATAATCATAAATGTTGTTTTTGGGGGGTTGTTTGTTTTTTTTGGGGGGGGGCGCTGTTTTTTACAATAAATATCGGGTTTTCTAAAAATTCTAAACCAGGTGACAATAAATAAAATTTCATATACTACCTTTGTTGTTTGTATTTTTTTTTTTTTTTAAGCGGGTTACGAGAGAGAGAGAAGGGAAAAAAAAAAAAAAAAGAAAAAAAAAGGAGAGA